AGGAACTTCAGCTGGACCTCTTGCTGGTTGGATGATGGAGGAGGAGCCTCACCACCTATCAATGTCTGACCTAGATCTGAAAACACAGCATGGAAAGGTTTAAAGTGGGCATTACCAAAATTTGTTTTTCAGTTGACACTTGAACTAACTAAAAATATTAAAGACAGTAAATACAGTATAGCACAGAAAACTGCTACAAGACCAGGAGAGGAGTCCACTAAATGCATTGCTTTCTTTTTATTTTTATGCAGTGCAGAGTGCTTTTTCCTGAACCTCAGCCTAGTGCACAGAATCTGCAGTAAATTAATATTATGACTTTTTACTGAATTTCATAGCAACAGGTTTTGATTAAAGCTCCAAGTAGACATGTCTAATTAGTTTTACTGTCCCTGATCTAAGTCCATAAATATTGTGGATGTGCTGATATAAATGTGTCCAATATTATATTTACAGTTAAGTGTACATTAAAATTTGTCAAGCTGATCCAATTTAAGTTTTTCAGCTGAATAAGTTTTGCATTAAGAAAATATATCCCAACTTTAGTTTAAAGGTTTCCTAAACTTTTTGCACTACACTCTACAGTATTTTGCATGATGTCTGTGGAAAGAGTAGTTTCAGAGTGTTAATGATGAGGAGGAAGGTTTGGACAGGATTTAGACAGCTACTCTGACACAACCATTCCTATGGATATTTCATTAAAACTGCTGACAGTAGACTGCATTTGGCAGTTTGTCCATGTATGTACCTGGTTACATGCAACACATGCATTACAATAAACAAAAAACAATAAAAAAAATTTAAGGCACAAACTAACAAACCAACAACAGAAGCTAAATGACCCGCAACAAAAACATCAGCTATTAAAGAGCATCTAGTTCCTGCTACAACTCCATGAGCCTGCACATACATGAGACAGACACGCTGCAGTGTATTAATTCTGTGTGAGTCATCCATCACCGAGTCCTATGCCACAGTGTCATTGGTATCCTGACAAAGAAATGAGCCAAAACATGTCTGAATAATGTACATCTTTTTTTAGCATGGAGAGAAATGAGAAGTTAGAATGATCTCAAGGATTCACTGGTGAGTTGAGACAGAGCCACAGACCCATGTTTTACACAGGAGTATCTACTGTGTTTGTATAAAACAGGTAAACATTCTTTGCTGATTTGATTAAATGTTTAATACCAGACAGTCTGAGAATTTAACACCAGTTTCCACCATGAACTTAAGCCCTACACCTTTTAACATTTCAAAGAGCTAGGCAGAACCAATTTATATTGTGGCATGGATTCTGATGACCATGCCCTTCACAATCAAACCATTCATTTCATTTTACATGTTTTAAAAGGGGTAATCATCTCTGCGTGTGTATCTGCTGCAGTTATAGGACATCCTTTGAGGCTGCAAAAACCTTGAGGTTATAATTGGTAGTGGTGGAAAAATATATTAAGTATTCATTTCATGCACCATAATAACCCCCTTTACATTCGAAACATAATGTATAACTAAATGAGCATTACTGCACCTTGAGGACAGAATTAAATGAGATGAGGGCATTATTCCAAATCATGAATACAAGCGGTTGCCAAGTGCAGTAAATGAAAATATAACTTTCTAGGTGGAAGCTCTTGCCTATAGCAATGAAGGCTCCAATATGTGCTTCAATATGTCAGTGAGTGAGGACAGACACAGCAGCATACAGCAGATACCACTGCTCCACCTCCCCAAAGCCCTTATGTCACAGGCAGTTTGATGTTTGCTAAAGACAACTGACAACAACAACAACAAAAATCTAATTCTTGCATCATCTTATTATTTTATACCCACATTCTTCTTTTGATGGGCAGCTCTGTTCTAAATCTACAGGGGGGGAAAGAGATGTGGAAAAAGATCCCAAGTAAATGGATGAGATGTTAAAGAAACACAAGTGAAGGATGAGTACGGCCAAGCCCCTGTGGGACTCTGTGCAGAGCCGCTCAGCTTGGGGAATAACACTGGTCTGTGTAATGCACAGAGCAGCAGCAGCCACACATTAAAGCAGAAAGAGGAGCGCCTCGAGACCCACACAACTGACAGAGGTACAATAAAAGATATACAACGGCCTGACGCACATAAACATTCACACATATACAGTACAGGCACACACTCACAGACATACAACTATGTCTGCTTCATTCTTTTGAGATTTCTTATTTTCTTTCAAGACTGAAAGTCATCCTTTTATGGAGAGAAACAAAGCTTGTGCTGCAACAAGAAGCAATACATTTTTTGATGTGACATTTTCTTTGACGTTGTTGCTTGTTACATGGTGTTGACAGTGATGTGTGAGGTCGCACCGATCATGTTGTTGAGGGAGAGATCCTGAATCCTCTTCTGGTTTGAACCCAATGGAGCTCCACAGAATGACAAGGGAGAGTAGAGAGGCGACAGACCCGAACTGACAAAGAGGGGGAAAGGGAATATTAATTAAATACATTCTGAAAGCATGCCACAGATCGGTTATTGAAATCCAGTGAATGGGGAGTGATAAATGAATATTGCTTGTGCGAATGATGAATGTGATCCACTTTTTAATAAAGTACTGACGCTAAGGAAAACAGCAGCATTTGTAGAGGATGACACATGTACTGATTCCTTGCATCGATTAGATGACACCCAGTAAAACAATGAGATGTTTCCTAGAAATATATTTTCACTGTGATAGAGCTTGCTATACTTGGGGCCTGACCAATAACTCAACACGTATAGCAGCATGGGCAGAAATGGGCTACACTAATAATCACCTTTATTTGGCCAAGTATGTTACACACAAGGAATTTGTTTCCGGTACAGAACCGAGGCAGCCATCTGTGGCGCCAACTCAACCGATGGTTCTAACTATCGTGGGTTCAGTGTCTCGCCCAAGGACACTTCGACATGTGGACTGCAGGCACCGAGATTCGAACCTCAGATCCTCCGGTTGGGAGACGACTGCTCTACCCACTGAACCACAGTCGCCCCACAGCCAAAGCATAAATCACAAGAAAATAAGAATTGTTGGGTTTTCTTTAGCTTAAAATAAGCTTTTTATATCTACAGAGAAGTGGGTCCCACATCAAGGAGGCCACCGTGTTGAGCCACCGTGATTTTTTTACAGTAGCCCAGAACAGACAATCCACACACTGGCATGAATTGTACATTTTCACATGGAAGTAGCAGCTTGGATTTGGAGACAGCTAAAAGACAAAAATAAGCAGTGTCAGAAAAAAGAGTTTAAGAACCATAAATTTTTAAATGGAGGATCATAGTCAAACTTTAACACAAGCCAAAAAAAAAAAAAAAAGACAGCCTTAATCCTGGTCGTCAAAAAAGAAATGACACAAAGGAATAAGGTGTTATGAGGCTAACTGTGTCTAAGTGAACCGTCAATGGCAAAAACCCGGTCAAGCCAGCCGCCGTTCAACTTTTATTGTAATTTCAGGCAAATAAGCACAATTAAGGTGCTTAGAATGGCCAAGATGGACATTTAAATTCTGGCTGAGTGTTTATTAATAGGCCTAAAGAATAAAACCATATTATTACACATCTTAAGATATGTGTACTCAGCCTTCTTGAAAATTACACTGCAGTCACATGAGCAGTGGTTAGCTTTTGATTTGTCAAGTCAGCTGCACTTGTTTTCCGGCTGCACAATTTGTCCTACATGTAGCGTAATCACTGTGAAATGGCTGTGAGGGCTGTTGATCACGATGTACGAAAGCTTTGCTGAAAGCTGCAATCTGCAACTTCACCGCTAGATGTCACTGGATCTCACATTCTGAACCTTTAATTTATGTGTATGTGCTTGACAACACACTGTGCCAACACCAAGACGTAGAGATGTTCATGTCAGTATATCAAACCTTGGCTAAAACATCTCTTTGGGATTTGCTGAGGTTTTCCAGTTAGGAACACTGATCACCAGAGCTTTTGCACAGTCACAAAGAAGCATCAGGATATCGATGGAGTGTAGTGTGAAAGACAAGTGCAATCAACTGAACAGTCCTAAAACAGAAAACCTGTCTGAAACTCCAAGCAAGACTGTAATAAGACAACTGCTCACAGAGAAGCAAAACGGCAAGAACATCCTTCTTTAATGCTGTAGTTTTGCCTAAATGAAACCGGTCTATACACAGACAGAGAAACCTGTGTCTGCTTCACACAGGAAGCCAACTGAAGAGCGAAATATCAAACTGACAATAGCAAGGGAGACTCCATCAGAGGGAGGCAGGGCTCATCAACGAGTGCCAACTCTCTGCACCCCCTACACCAGTCACTAAAAAAACTAAATTTAGGTCAGAGGACTATAGAGTTTAAAGTCGGTTTGACTCAGGCTATAACGTATTCAAAAAAGTTAATACCTTTCTCCTCTTCCTGAAATTTCAGCCACCACCTGCAAAATTATAATATGGCTTTGCAGAATTATCTCCATGCATGTGTGTGTATGTGTTGTCTACCTCGGATTGGCAGCAGCCTTGCCGGTGTGTGCTTTAAGCTCCCACAGCATGGCTCTGCCATCGCTGACCATGAGAGCAGCGTTGTTTTCATTGACGGGGCAGATAACCATGCGATAAGGCCGGACTGTTTTGGTGACTCGGATGGCATCGCACTGAGAACGCAGGTCGTACACAAGCTCCTGGACACCCTGCTCTGGGTCTGATAAAAATATAATGGAGAAACAAACAGAGAAACAAAGGTGACAAGAGTGGCAGAAAGGCTGGGAGAGACAGACTGATAGGGATGGAGAGTATAAAAGAAGAAAAGAGGGAGGTTAAAACTAATGTCACAGATTCAGCAGAATCAGAGCAAAGTAGTGACCAGGAAGGGATACAAGAAGGAAAAAGAAAAAATGTTGAAGACATTGAGTAGATGTTTATAATAAAGGGAATACAGAGAGAAAGAGGAAGAGAAGGAGGTAAGTGGGAGAAAATGCAACAGAGAGACTTGTGAAGACATTTTGAGTAAGTGTTAGAGGAAAGTTGAGAGACAGATGAAAGGATTTCGAGGAGATAAGGCAAGAAGACAGAACATTAGAGAATAAATGAGCGCATGGGAGACTCACAAAAGGAAGTGGCTGGAAAAAAAAGATGAGAAAATAGAGATTAGCATGGAAGTGATAGCAAGGAAAGTAAGTAAGGGAGAGGGAGCAATTCAGCAAGACAATGGACTCCCATTGGCCTATAACACTAAGCCAAAGATAAATGAGACACTGAGAGGCTAAATACCCACTGGAGCACAGAGAAGAAGCTCTGACTGCAGGGCAGTTTGGTTGAATAGATGGTGACAGATCGACAGCACAGGAGTGAGAGTGCTTTGTGAGTGAGCACAGTATAAGTAGTAGGTGCTCTGTGAAGATGCTCCATACCTGCCACTTCGTCTGGAGCATTAGTAGAGCGACACACTCGAAAGGTGATGCACCCGTTTTCGTGGAGACAGTAGAGGGCATCCCGCTGAGCACAGGGAATCACCTAAACACAGAGAGAGTAAGGACGCATGTGATGATGATGTGTGTTGATGCCAACTGTTTTTTGAAGATTTTGTGTTGAAAACCTGGTACTTAAGTTTGGTCTTAGCACTGCATCACTGTGTCAATCTGACAGCTCCAGAGAAAGAGGAATTTGTGTAATTTTAGGCACAGATTGTTTGCGTTTATGTCATTGTCTGTGTAAATAGTTGACTTTTATTCTTTGCAAACAGAATTAGGGCTGCAAATATTTTTTAAATGACTCAAATAATTTGGTCTATAAAAAGTGTCAGAAAATACTGAAAAACATCCATGGCAATTTTCAAATAGCTAAAGTGACTTTGTTTCTTTTGTCCAATCAACAGTGTGAAAGCCAAGGACATTCAATTTACAATGAGGAAAGTAGTAAATACTCACACTGAAGATGCCAGATATCTCAGTGTGTGGTGATGTTGTTTGGAAATTAATTTTTTAATCAACTGCCAACTGTCAAACAGTTGCCTATTAATTCTCTGTCAGTCTAATTGATTAGATAATAGCACTATGATGATAATAATGTGTCAGTTCTAGATTAAAGAAAGCATTATTGGTCATTATGTTTAAATACTGAGCATAAGTGATAATGAAAGTACGGACTTTAGAGACATCTGGCTCAGTGCACTCCCAAAGAATGAAATGAGCAGAAAGCATCCATTTAAGCAGCTTGTGTGTACCTGATTGATTCTACCAAGCAACATTGGTAGGGTAAAAAAATAAAAATAAAACATTTAAACGACAGTATTACAGCAGACAGATGAAGGCGTAGCCAGTGACTTTGTTCCCATATTTATATTTCAAACAAGTAGCAGATTGACATTATCAGTGAGTGAAATCCAGAGTTTTAATAGATATATTCTCCATTTTCCACTTTTAACATCACTATGTACTGCAGTCTCAGCGCCATGTCTCACACAGACGTTTGACCCAACCTAAACCCTTGACACCTTGTTATGGAACTTATATTTTAAATTCAATTTTACAGTGATAGGTTTTGTATTAGATTGCATGAGATGTACAGCTACTGTACATGCACCAGATAAAGTGTTAACTCTGTGAACACTGCGTATGTGCCAAACACTTGACTGTGTGTAGTAGGCTATAGATGTGCAAGGGCCACAGACATGGGAAGAACATCGGGTCAGTTGTCCCAGGCCCTGGGTCAAGGGAGGGCCCAAAAGGGCCCTCTCACCTTTAAATTTTTGGAAACTTTATAACCTGTAGTATTTGTGAGTCACATAAAAGTTTATTTTTTTCTTCTTTATTTAACTTGACATAGTGGTCAAAAACACCCCCCCATGCAAAAAAAATGTTTGGTCTGTCACACTACTGTAAGGTCAAAATTTAACATCTAGCCAGTCCCCTCCCACCTCCAGTAAACTTCACTAACAGTCAGTGACGAAAGTCAGGTGCTCAGAAAAAAGAAAAGAAAAATCAAAGAGAGAGACAATGACAACAGACGTGGGAGGGATATTATTACCAGGTATTAAAAAAGATAATTAAATGGAAGGTGATGCTTCAACTCCAAGTACAGCCCCACCGGGTGCCTATTAATCGAGAGCAAGGTGAGAGATCCATTTAGCTTCAACATCTGTCAAACACAGATGGCTTTAACTTTAACATCCAGTTATGAATTTGTACAAAAACCTAACAACGCATCCTCTGACAGAAAAAGCTGAGTCTGGGGATGGTATAGTAGCTGCTGTAGAGGAGAGAGGAGAGCCTGCAGGTGGGGACAGGGCGAGAGAGGTTAGCTGCAGTGGCCAGGAGAGGTACGGAGACCCAGCGCCTATGTTTCAGCTGTATAAGAACCCAATAGTCTTTTTATCCATTTAAAATGACAAAGTATAAATGATCAGTACTGAGCTTATTATCAATTTTCCATGTCTCTATGACTGAATTTCAGTGGTGATACTACAGTTTTATTTGGACTATATTTGGATTAAATCTGTGTGGGAGAGGAGAGCTCTTTTGGCATCTGCAAATGGAAACCTGCACCGTGTGTGTAATGCCCGTATGCCACCTGTCTGAGGGGAGAAGGAGGGCCTTTGGAGATCCTGTCCCACGCATGAGCACAACACACAGTAGGCCTGTGAGCCGGTATGTATATCTCCCTGTCTTTCCACGGCTCTTGTCACTTCTACATTGCACTTCAACTTTTGTTAATGCCATGTCATTAGTCTTGCAAATTGGATGTGTGACGAGCACTTTGCAACACTTAGGAGAAGGGAAACTGGACAGAGCATGAACAGCTGAGTAATGCCCTTCTATTCCTGATCTGTGACTGTAGGACTACAAGAGCTTGTTCTCCACCTTTGTACTGTTTAACTATGGATACATCCGTTAAAACAAGATCACAGACAACCCAAAGAAAGTATGATTTATGGAGGTATACTAGAATACTGACCAGAAAGCAATTTCACACAGAGAGAAAATGTCAGCTGACCACTCTGAAAAACTGAAGAACAGTAGCTGGTCCATGCAGATGCACACAGGCATGAGGTTCAGGGTTAAAATTAAAATGGGATATTATGGCTCTAACAGAGCAGGATAACCACAATGAAAACCATGAGATCCACTCACACATGGCTAAAGGTTTTCAGTACTGTTACACCTCATTAAAACAATGCTGTTAATCCTCAGAAGTGTTGAAATAAGAAGCTCTTTTGTCATGCATACCTGTATGCCTTTGGTTTGCCATAGGGGGGGAAAGAAAACAAAGATGTTGTGAAAAGAGTTGAATTCTTGCTTATTCTATACAAAAGCTATCTAAATTTACCTCAACAAAATTATTGGTAGAAGTGGAGATATACAAGTGGAATGTGATGATATTCCAAGATGACTATTGTTTTCAGTTATTATCACAGTGTCTTTACTCTTATAATCAGTCATTTAGCTTATTTTAATGGAGAAAACTACTTATTTTGCTATTTGGTATCGCTGTGTGCACAACACCGAACATCAACAAGACTTACTTGAAAATCATCAGCTTTTTACTATTTCTTCAGTAATAAAGTCATTCAGTGGTAGTGGTCAATTCATCCAAATGAACATAGCAAAAATTAACTGTTAAAAACTAATTTGGTACCATTAATGTTCCAAAACATAAACAAATCCAGAGGAACATATTGTATCCATAGTAACATTAAACTGTCCGTTTCTTGTAAAAGTTTACATCTGTTCACACGAGTGGAGATTTTTAACCTTTAATGTGATATTTTCCAGAATATTGTGTTGAAAAAAAGAAAACACCAGACTGTTCTGCAGTGGCTTGATCTTAATCTGACTGAATATCTGTGGAAAGAGGCTACAACTGGGAGAAAGCACCCATCAAACCTGAGAGAGCTGGAACAGTTTGCCCAAGAAGAGTGGGTCAAACTACCAGGTTAGAAAATGCCACTAAGAGCCACAAAAAGCACTTGATTGCAGTTATTGCCTTAAAACAGGGTGCTACAAAATACTAGGTGGCATTTTTGTCCCTGCAATTTTCATCCCATTCCATTTTCAAGTATTAATTAAAATCAAAAGAAAAGCAATGGGTCTGTTGTATTAAATATGGAAGAAAGAACAGTGGATGTCAATTACCTGTGTCAGTCTCAACTTATTTCAGAGCAAATTGTGTTTGTTTTTTCTTTTTTAGGTGGAAGGGTACCAACAGTTTAAACCACGTCTGTAATGACAGGCTACCACACCGGTCATTCCTTCACAGACAGACGCAAAGAAAAATGAACAGTAAAAGAGGCTGCTTCTGTTCTGCTAGGAACTCTGACAAATCCTCTATCTATACCCACCACAGCAGTCATCAATATCCTATTAGAAATCCAAACCCCAAAAGAAGGGAACTGGCAGCTAACGTTCAATGGTCTTGGTGAAGCAGGCTACATAAAGGAGGAAAAGGTTAGAGGCTGGTGAGATGTTTTACTGTAGCTAAGGACTGGCCTTGCTGTGCAGCTGTCAGACCTTGATGAGGTGAGCACTGAGAGGGAGGAAGAAAAGCAGAGAACTTTATCATTCACGGCAGGAGGAATTGCCTTCCTGGAAGAATCATCCATAAAAAAAGACAGATTTTGGTAAAGTCCTTCGAGTAATGCAATAAAAGTAGAAACTGTGCACCGAGTTCATTTGAGGGGAGAGAAAGATGGTGAAGTAGAAAGCATGTCTGAGCCAGAGAGCACATCCATCCTTTCATTTATCTCCACTAGACCAGCTAAGATGTGAGTGCAAACATTTCTCA